AGCCTTGCAGGGCAGCATAAAGCCCACTGCTCTCCTTAAGCCAGAAAAAAGAAAGGAAAAATAACAAAACAGTCACTTCAGGTGTTTCATAAAATATGTGAATCAGAAAATTGGCTATATACCAAACTGAATGATTGTTGTTCTCTACTACAAAGATCACTTGTTTCTGGGCTCTAACAGCTCAAATGTCCTGTTTTTCAGGCTTCGCATGGCGCGGATGAACGAGGAGATGAGGGATTCAGAGGGAGTGTTCAGTGGCACCGGTCAGTCCCTTCATGGCGCTACGTCTATTTAACTCTATAGCCAACTCTATGCATAGTCAATTTTCTGTCCTGTGAGCTCATATGTCTCTGTCCCTCAGGTGATGACGAGACGTTTCAGGACATCTTCAGGGACTTTAGCAACATGGCATCTAATGACCCGGAGAAACTCAGGAGGCAGTTCGTCCGAGGAGGCGAGGAGGAAGAGGATGAAGGAGATAAAAACAGCCAGGCATGCGCTGACTGACAGGAAGGGAATATGGGCCGTCCCTGTTACCATAGTAACAGTTAGGATGGACGTTTTTAAATAATTAGAGTTGGACCAAACCTGAGAAGATTCATGTTTGTTTTCTGTTGATGTTTTAGTTTGTGGGAAAATTATTTATCGGCTCTGATGGTGAAGTGGAGCTCACTGCAGACAGACAGGCGGTTCTGTTCTGGGAATCATTCATGTTCCCGGCCTCTCCGGCTGAGTCTGATGAAATGAGACCAGGAGACAGGTTTTATTAATCACTGTGAAACGGTTCCAATCATTTCAGCCGGTTCTCTCTGAGGGACACAGAAGCAGCAGGAAGGATTCATCCTGGTCCAGTTGGACCTGCAGGAGGACAGAGGAAGACAGCTGCAGCTGATGGACCCGGGTCAGTCAGGCATAAAGCAGGAAAGAGTTAAACAGACTTTCTTTATTTCATAGGAACTCATATTGCTATACAAAGTCAGAAGAACTTGATCAGATTCTTAAAGAGTCTGGACCAGAGAAAAGGGATCAACACTAAACTCTTCGGATCAGCTAAACCACATAAGCAGAACCTGATCTTCACTGTATGAGAATATGGACCATAAGTTCTCAGAGTCGTTTCCTCTGTAATGAAGTCAGAATTGGTTCTGAAGTTTGTGTTTTCTGCTCTGAATGGACCCGGCTGCTGTTTGAAAAATCAGTGGCTGGACTTTGGTTCTGCTGCTGCTGAATAAAACCACTGAATGTCTTACTGTAAAACCTGTTTCTGTTTGTCCAGATATAGATGTTCTGCCTGTTTAAAAGCTCAGACTTCTGAACAGGCCTCAAGTTTCTAGAGCTGACGATATATTCCAGCATCTCACTTCTCTACTGAAAGGTTCTACATACTGTATTCTAGGTGATGTTTCCAGAAGGTAAGGTCCACTTCAAGGTCAGATGCTAAACACCAGAGGAACCTGATATTCCAGCTTTTTCCAGGTGTGAATAAGCAAAAATAAGGTATTTTTATCCACTCTCCTAGATGCTATGTCCTTTCTTTTGTCCTGTGTCCTTACACCTTGGCCATCCATCAGCTGAACTAGACCGATGCCTCGTTTCCACCGAATTCTAACCCGATTAACGATACGCTGCAGTACATATTTCTTTGATTATTCATTTTTATGTATTTTTAAATCCACATAAGAGCCGTTCCTGGAAATGTTTGGTGACATTACTGGACTGTATGACTAGAAGAGCTGCTGGTTTTTGAAACATTTTTTTCTCCAATTTCAGTTTATGATGTAACCAGGATGTTTTAAATAGTGCTAAAATGCCTCTTGCTGGTTGTGCTGTAAAAGTCCTGAATTGAAGGACAGGTTCAGGCTGAATCCCAAACCGCGCCCTAACCACTAACCCTTAACTATGAAGGGTTAATCGCAATAAGNCAGGTACCAAACAGCCAATGCGCACAGTGTTGACCAATTAGAGGCCTCCTTTCTCTCCTCTCTGTGACGCTATCTGTCTGAGGTCACCTACAATTTTTGAGGAGTTGCACCAGTATGTCTGCGGAGAGGAGAGGCATTTCTGCCTTAACTGCAACAAACATGCAGACAACCTGGTTTCTGAGCATTGAAAACGCTGCTGTCACCAGACAGAAAAATATTAATGCTTTTTCAGGAAGAACAGCTTAACCAACGTACCGCAAATGTTGCAGAGACCTGTACCCCTGTCCCACCTCCAGCCATCGTCTTCACCGGAACTGGTGTACCAGTAGAACAACGCGAGTGGTGAGATCCTGAGCATGAGTTGGAACCCGAAGCTATAGTTCCTCATGGGTGTGGGATGTTTTTCTGCCCCATGGTTGATGAACTCATGCGTGAAAGTGTCCCTCTGAGCTTTTGACATAAATGTGACGCAATATGGTGAACTGTAAAGTGCCTTGAGCTGACACGTGTTGTTAATTGGCGCTATATAAATAAACTTGAATTGATATGCTCCTCCATGCAGCATGGTTAGATAGGCGCCAATTAGACAAGAACTGAGATAGTTGATTAAGTCTTTATATTTAAAAACATAAAGTTAATTTTGCTTCCCATTTTATGGGCATTACCTCTCTTGCAAATACCAGTGAGGCTCTGATTAAGGATGAATTAGTGGAATTAGTACAATAGGTCACGGATTAGTGGACTGTGGTCCGGATCTGGACCTTCATGCTGGCTAATCCGGACCCAACCTGATTTAAAACATTTAAAAATGACCACATGTTGTCCAAGGCCAGAGTCTAACTTCACTTGCGCTGCTTCTCCTGTTTGTACGGCAAAGCCCTCCGGAATGACCGGCACCAGGCTGAACATTATGCATATTAGCCAATGAGCTGCTGTCAGTCTGGGTCACTGCTGCTGCTACTTTTAGACACAGCAGGCAAACCTGTGGCAAGCCGGACGATGGGAAAGAAGGAGAAGAAGATGAGAAAAAGAGAGCAGAGAAAGTGTGGACTGCTGGAAGAACTGTAGTGAATTGGTGCCAGAAGAGTGAAATGGTGCTCAAAGATGACCCTGCACATTTAGAGGATGTTTGACTCAACCTGCTGCTGTGAAGCAGGATTCTCCACCATGAACAGAATCAAAAATAAATCTGGATCCAGGCTC